GATTAATTAATGATCTAATTATTCTGACCGAGACAAGGCTGATTGAGGGTATTTTGGATCGAGAAATGCGACGATCGGTACGACGTGTTTCGTAGAGATAGGGACTTGGTAGCCAGTAATAAGACAACAGGCGGCGGCGTGATGATTTTAGCGCGATGTGAGCTGGAGGCAACGCGTAGCGCACACGAGCCCCCGCACCCGTCGAAATGCTTACGATCACGGTACCCGCGCGCGCGATAGCTGCTGCCGACGACTTGCATATTAGTGTTGTATATGCACCTCCGGATGCTTCCACATTACCGTCAATGATTAATTGTGCCTTAGATTCTTTTAAAACTTCGTACTATCTTAATACTAACCACAATTATATTTTAATGGGTGACTTCAACCTATCTTGTATACATTGGGACAAGGAGGGACCATTACATATTAAACAGAGCACAACGGAAGTACAGAATATTGGTTTGAGATTGGTTAATGAATTATTACTTTTAGGAGTAAGTCAACATAATACTATAAAAAACTACGCCGGTAATACGTTAGATTTAGTTTTCTCTAATATGCCTGTATCTATTATCAGATGCTCACTACCACTTGTTAAGGAGGACCGTGCTCATCCATGTCTAGATTTAGAAATAAGTGACCTTCATATTCAACCAATAAAAAATTCGGCAACACCTAGACATAATTATAAGGCAGGCAATTATATTTTATTAAATGAACATTTTAAAGAAATTGACTGGTATTCTATATTAAATACAACAAATATAAATTAATCAACCGATATTATGTATAAAATTATATATGACGCTATCGATGAGCATGTCCCACTGCATAAAAATGGGAATAACCGGAAGTATCCTCCGTGGTACAACCGAGCATTGATTAAAATTATTAGAGAAAAAGCAAAGGCTCATTCGCGTTGGAAAAGATTTGGAAACCTATTAGATTACGACGAGTACTCTTTTTTAAGGAAGAGACAGAAACGAGTTCAAGATTGTTGTTTCAAAAATTATATTTCTGCCATTGAGACAAATATGAAAGATAACAAAAAGGTTTTTTGGTCATACGTCAACTCTGCTCGGGGTGCATCCAGCATTCCTAAAGTAATGACATACGATAACAAAAAAATTACGGATGGTAAAGAGATTTGCGAAGCCTTTAATAATTTCTTTTGTAGTGTTTTTGGTAAACCTCTTGACAGATCAAACTCCAACTTTGTCGATACAGTTAATAACAATATAATATCAACCTGTAATATACCTTTGTCGGATGTAAGAAAATCGCTAGACAAATTAAATGTATTTAAGGGCGCCGGAAGTGATGGAATTCCACCATTGTTCTGGTCCAGATGTGCTGAAGGTCTCGCCCTTCCTATTACAATTATTTTTAATCGCTCCTTAAAAGAAAGTGTATTTCCAGATATCTGGAAACGCGCCCATATATTGCCACTACACAAGAGTGGATCGCGAACTAAAGTGGAGTTTTATAGGGGAATATCTATACTCAATACTGTGGCAAAATTATTTGAAAAATTTGTTTATAATGCGATATATCCCATTAGGCGGACAGGTTGATGTAATCTACACTGATATTGAAAAAGCTTTCGATCGCGTTGACCATAGCATTCTTCTTTGTAAATTGAAATCACTTGGTATTCATGGTGACTTACTTCGTTGGATTGATTCTTACCTCAGAAATCGGTCTCAAGCTGTTATTGTGGATGGTTATCGTTCTAACTTTGTTGATGTACCAACCGGTGTACCGCAGGGATCTCATCTTGGCCCACTGTTCTACAACGCTTATTTATTCGATATAGATAATTGTTTTAATTTCGTCAATTACTTAATGTACGCAGATGATAAGAAAATATTTTTCAGAATACGTGACATCAATGACTGTTTAAAACTTCAAAGTGACCTGAATTCTCTTAATAATTACTATAAGAAAAATAACATCACAATAAATGTCAAGAAATGCGAATGTATCAGTTTTAGTAGGAAAATTAATCCTATAATGCACAATTACAGTATTAATTCATTGTCAATAGAACGGAAATATAAGGTACGTGATCTTGGTGTACATTTCGATTATAAAATGATCCTCGATCAACATATTGATATAATAACATCGAAGGCTTTTAAATCCTTGGGATTCGTACTGCGGGTAACTACGCCTTTTCACGATATAGCTACGCTAAAAAACCTGTACTATACATATGTTCGTAGTATTTTGGATTATGCGTGCCCGGTATGGTCACCACAATACGAAATTTATATAGAACGTCTTGAACGTATACAGAAAAAATTTGTTGATCATCTTGCCTACCGTTTTAGACGTCCTGTTAATTCCTATCTTGAGTGTTGTCGGGAGTTTCGTATTCCTACTCTTGAAGAAAGACGTGCTGTAGCAGAAATGTGCCTATTATTTGATATAGTACGCGGTAACTTAGATTGCCCTGAATTGGTAGCGCGAGTTGCATACTGTACACCTCCCAAGCGAACACGTCATACACCGCTTATGCATGTACCATCAAGGTCCACCAATTATGCTAGTAATGCCCCTATAGTGCGTATTCTACGCAATTACAATAAAAATTTTGAAAATGCAGATCTTTTTTTCGGTTCAAAATGCAATTTTAAATCGCAAGTTTACGAGCACAGGAGATACAGAGCCAAAAAGTCTTTGTATATTCAAAAAATATCTAATTTGTTTGTGTGCGCGGGGTGCGGTGTACGGTGCTCCCCCCTGCCACCACCGTTGCTGGAGGATCTATGTAAGGAGCATTGCGAATATAAAATATCTAGATTAGTAAATTAATAAATTCATAATTGATAGACCGTTACGGTATCTATATATATTCGGATGAAAATAAGTATCGCAGTAAGGACGAGTATATAAAGTGATCAACACAATTAATTGATTTTTGAAATATATTCAGAGCCAAAAAGTCTTTGTGTATACCAGAAATTTAGCCGTTCGGAGTCAGTCATGCACGAATTATTAGTAAAAAATGTGTCGAGTATATCGTACTATCGACGAATATATATGGCCACATCGCAAAATAGAATGCGACGTTGCCATACCGCCTGAGATATACGCGATAGGAGTCAAGTTATTCCGTGCAACAGGTGGAATCAGCCAGTGTGTAGGTTGTGGCGTGATCAACAAAGTGCCCAAAGAGGTGTTTATATATACATACACATACACATATACATATAAATAAATTAAATAATATCTATACAATAGCGACGTTACTATGAAGATAAGTTTCGTGAATCATATTTTTTACGCTCGATTTAAAAGTAGGCAGTGATGTCAATTTACGAATGGGAAGTGGTAGATCGTTCCATAGTCGGACAGCAAGTACCGTGCAGGACATGTCGTAAAAAGCAGTATGATGTACTGGTGTCTTTAACTGGAGATTCTCCGATGACCTAAGATTGGCGTTATTAGAGTTATGAAGGAAAACAAACCGCTCCTTCAGATAGTTATGTTGAAGGGTTATAAATGATATTATGGAGAAGGGAAAGAATGTGAGTATTCCGGCGAAAGCAAATAGGAAGCCACTTGAGTTTAGTGCGAAACTCAGAAACATGATCAAATTTTCGAAGACCGAAAATAAATCTTATAAGAGTATTTTTAAGTCGCTCAAGCTTATTAAGTTGGTCTTCTGTAAGATTAGAGTAACATGTATCGGCGTAATCAAGTATGAATAGAATAGAATAGAATAGAAAATCATTTATTCAAATAAACTTAATTTAAGCACTTTTGAATAGTCATAACAATTTGTTTTTTATCTACCACTCGTTCGGAAAGCTGTCTCATCACAAGAAGAACGAGCAGGAAACTTGTGTGTTGCTCTTTTAAATAATCCTTGTAAGTTTACATTTACAAGTCGAAACGTGTGAATACAAACTACCAACAAGCACTAATTTTTTGGGTCAAATATAATCATGCAATAAGATTAAATCAGTCGTAGTGATAAGAGCAGACCAATCCCTACAAGCAGCACTCGTTCACGAGTATGACGGATGAGCCAGCCATCACTGCGCTCGACCATATTTTAGGGAGCCCATTGACCCGGCCCACCACGCCGCCACATGTCTGGACATTTTAGTGAGCATGACTACTCATTCCACACGACCACGTCACAGCTACAAAAATTACTATATGGTAGTTACAGTATTCGCACTTTACATAAGGATGCATGCGGCAATCAATACAAAAGCCGCTACGCTATCATATATCAAGAAAGCAGTATGAAAATTAAAATTATAACGTTGTCGTTAAATTAAATTAAAATATGGGATGAAGAAGAGATTGAGATAGCGTAATTTTGGTAGCAATGGGCAGGAAATTACGCAACCTCCGTAATGACCCCAACGCTGCAAATATTTTCCTGCTAACTACTTGAATTTGCGGTCACCAATTAAAAAAGCTATCAATATGAATGCTCAGGTTTATGACAGAAGTACTGAAAGGAGTTACTTCGTCATTCACTTTAATTTCAGCGATAGTCGACCAGTCGATCCTGTTAATTAGCCTGGAGCTGCCTATAGTAGGCAGCTCCAGGCTAATGACTTGAGTTTTTGTAGATTTAATTGTTAATCCAAAAGCTTTACTCCAGTTTGTAATGTGTGTCAAATCACTATTAACTACGGAAACAGCGTCATTGAAGTTTTCTAGTAGAGCCTGATAATAAGTTTGTAAGTCGTCTGCATATAGATGGTAGAAAGAAGTTAGTAAGTTAGAAATTGAGTTTATAAAAACTGTGAAAAGTAAGGGAGATAAAACGCCACCTTGTGGAACACCGGCAAACGTATGACACCATGATGAAAATGTATCATCAATGCGGATTTGCTGCCGACGCCCAGACAAATAATTGTGAAACCATTCAACTACAGGTGGAGATATGTTAAGAGAGCATAGCAATTCCTCGAGGATATCAAAATCTACGGTATTAAAAGCGTTACTAAAGTCAAGGAGTGTAAGGATAGTTAACTGACTTTGAGAGCAGTTGTTATACTGTGACCAGGTCGGAAACCAGACTGAAGAGGATTTATTAGGTTCTTTTTGTTAAGGAACGAGGTGAATTGGTTGTGAATCAAACGTTCAAGGACTTTGGAAAGGAAAGGTAGAATACAGATGGGACGGAAATCAGAACGAGATGCGGGATTGGCCTTTTTTGGACGAGGGATTATTTGCGCTTCTTTCCAGATTTTAGGATAAACACTAGTTATTACGGAGTGATTAAGGATATGGCAAATAATTGATAGGATCTGATCGAGGATAGGAAGAATCATATTGCGACTGATACAGTCAACACCAACAGCGCTAGAGGAAATTGCCATAATGCTTTTCTTAACATCACACTCTGTGAATTGATTAAAAACGAAAGGAGAATAGTTTGGAGTCGGAAGTGATGAAAGATAAGAAATTGTGCTAGTTTTGTCATCTATATCCATAATAATGGACGACGAGGAAAAATGCTGATTGAGAGAATTCATGTCTAAGTTTTGATGCAAATTTTTGTGACGGATCTTGCCGACTCCAAGTGATCTAAGGAATTTCCAAACTTTAGCAGATTCCTGATCAGAAATTGAGTTATGAATATAGTGACGTTGTGCATCCCTACACATTCTATTGCAGCGATTTCTGGCTTGATAGTACTTCATTTTGTTATCGTTAGTTGGACGACGTTTAAATTTGGCCTTAGTTGTAACTTTTTTGTGCATAAGTGCCCTAATTTCATCTGTGAGCCATGGAGCAGGAGTATGCTTTATTTTAATGGCTCTTAAAGGTGCATGTACATCATACAACTTAGTGACTATAATGTTGAATTGCATTACTTTGTCGTCAATAGAATCAGCTGACATAACAGGTGACCAGTCCGTCTCCACGGCGTCACTACGCAATCCCTCAATATCCATACCACCAAAATTACGCTGAAAAATAATTTTGGGTTTATCTTTAGGAGGTCGGATTTTGTAATATACATGTTACCAGCTTGCACTGTAGATTGTAATGTAGTAGACCGATTATCTCTTTTAAGCAGACATGTATTAAAATCGCCCATTATAATTGTATGACGGAAATTTAGTGTGAAGACTTCAAGCAACTTTTCCAAGGAGGAAAAATAGTTGATGTGCATGGAAGGGCAATAGTAGACTCCAAGAAGTATTTTTGAATGGGATAGCAGGACTTCAACAAACAAGTGTTCACCAGCATCTGGTGGCGGTGGCTGTGCAGACATGCTAATTATAGAAAATGGAAGGTGAGAACGTAAATATATGGCAACACCACCACCGCCGCTGGTTCTATCATTGCGAATAAGTTGAAATCCTGGAAGACAATAAGATGAGGAGAGGAGACAAGGTTTCAGCCAAGATTCGGAAACTAATATAGCATGTACATTATGCTGGTCGAGGGACGCCAATAAATCTGAATAATGTGCCGGAATACTTTGAGCGTTAATGTGAATAACGTTAAAATTCTTAGGAACATCTGAAAAACAACCAGTCAAGATATCAGACAAACAAGGAAAACTAAACATGCTACTGTTACTGCTTAAATTATGCGATGATATGGAGAAAAAATCGTCATTATCACCGTCACTATCAATATTATTTAGCATTGTATATGTTTAAATTAATGTTTAAATATATAAAAAAAAAAAAATATCACACCTAAATATATATATAAATATACTTTCAAAAATAATCAAAATAATACAAATAAATATGTATTCTAAAAAGTACTATCATTACATGGGCACTCCACCCGCCAGTTGTAAGAACAAAACGCTAAATTAATATGACAATATATCACATATAATTGAAGATAACCATTATTTACTATAACATAAGTGCAAAGAGCTGGTATCCAAAAACAGAATAAATGAAAACTTCACCTACACTTGCAAGTTTGACTTATTACATTGTGGTTAAGATTGACATTTAACAATGACAATCGGTTTCAAAATTGACAACTACACTATGCTGTGAGCTGCCATTAGGGTGAATTGACAATATTAAATCTAAGAGCAAAGATAATGTAAAAAAAAAAAAAAGTGATACAAAAGTGGGTAGAACAAGTGAATTATGTTGGCAATAGATTAGAGAGAAATATATACAATATAGTTGTTGGAGCTAAAATTGTTGAATGAAATTGAAGTGTAGGCAACTAAAATTTAGACAAAGCGAAAATAGTAAACAAGATACATCATTAGACCTATTTTTTAACATTGGCGCGCCTCGTTTTGGATGCAGCAACGTTATCTTTCACCTGTGGGGCTATCTTTTGCTGTTCTGGGACCGGCCGCGGCGGCGCGACCTTTTCTAACTCGGCCAAGCTGCTAACGCGATGTATAGATCCATCAGGGCACAAAATGTGGATGAAGCCATCTCGTGACCAGCACTTCTTGACTCCAAATCGTTGCCTGGCCATCATGAAGGTGTCATGACGAAGTTTCGTTAAAAACTCCGACACAGTAATGCTTGATCCCTTCAAGTTCGTTTTGGCAAACCATATTTTATCACGAATGCCAGTATCACACATCTTAACCAAAATAGGGCGAGATTTCGCTGAATTCACTCGTCCCATCCTGTGGCATCGGCTAATGCTGGCAGCTGTGAAATCAATCACTTTCAGCTGGTCGACAACTACACCTTCAACGACTGAGGCTGTGTCTTCTTGCCTGGCCTCTGGAACTCCATGTATGAGCAAAATCCTCTTGCGGCTGTGCATTTCCTGTCGGTCTACCTCGAGCACAGGCAAGTCCACCTGGTGTTGTAGTGCAGCAAGACTCTTAAGGGTGAATTCCTTGAAAGTCGCAAAATCCTCGGCTATAGCAGTCGTGTCGGAATTTCAGGATGAAGCCTTTTGGAGACGTTTTTCAAATACTTCCATCCTCTGTGCAAACTCTGCTCTGGTGTCTTGTAAGCTCGGTTTTTGATTATACTTCATGGATTTACGTGAACCAGTGAGAAATATGTGATAGTGAAAGTTGGCAGGTGAAGTGTACCCTTACTAGATTATTTTGCACATAAAATTAAAAGTTTTAAAATAGTACTACTATTTTTAATTATAATTTTAAGTTGGAGCACTTTTTAATGTATATCACCGTTACAACTTCTCCAGAAAAAAAAAAACCAGAAAACCAGAAAACGCAGGGCAGCCTGAGTGTGATATCTCAGGGGTGGATTCTCCAGTAACACGGTTACTGGTACCACCCTGGGGTAAAAATCTTTTATATTCCGCTGCCTTGGTATGTAAGAATGGGGGGGGTTGGGGACGGAAGTCGTAATGGGATTGGGGGAGGGGGAGGGGCATCCGGAACCTACAGCTCACCATGCGAAATATAGCTTAACGCCGGTTTTTTGCCGAGGTGTGGTATTTCCCGGTTCGAGCGGCCCAATCGAGCTGAACAACCACGTGTGGTCGTACAGCTTGCTCTACCACTTTAAGGTAAGATTCAATGTACAGTTCGTATAAAAAATAATATAATATCAAATTTAAACTTAGTCGTTATAGATAATAAATTCAGTCCATCTTTATTCGGTCGAGATTGGATGCGATCTATTGGTATTATTTTTCCTAAAATATTGTCAGTAAGTACTATGCATAATACACAATTTACTGTACCCATAAACACAAAGAGTGCTGTATATAATTAAAAAAAAATGTATCCGGACGTGTTCAAATCGGGTGTAGGTACGTTTAATACGTGCAAGATAAACGTGCAAGATAGCGCAGGCGGTGTGGCGCCGAGCACGGCCCGTGCCGCACGCGCTACGCCCAGCTGTTGATGCTGAGCTACAGCGGCTTCAGCATGAAGGCATTATATCACCAGTAGAATGGAGCGAATGGGGTACGCTTGTCGTTCCCGTAGTAAAACAAAATGGACAAGTGCGATTATGCGGAGATTTTAAAACTACCTTGAACCCGGTTCTCATGGACGATAAATATTCTATCCCCAGGATCGAGAGTATATTTTCTGCATTACAGGGGGGAGAAATATTCGCAAAAATTGATTTTTCTAATGCGTATCTACAAATCTTGTTAGATAAATTCTCAAAAAGGTTGTGCACGATAGTGACACAACAGGGTATATTTTGTTTTAATAGACTACCGTTCGGTATTAAGTGCACTCCAAATAAATTTCAAAGATTGATGACCTAACTGTGTGTGGTATAAATGGACAGGATTTATGGATGCGGTTATTTAAAGTTTTTAAAATATTATCAGAGTGTGGATTAAGAGTAGCTCCAGAGAAATGTAGTTTTTTTAGAAGTCCATATCGTATTTAGGACACGTGATCGATGCGGACGGGTTACACACGGAAACGTCAAAAATTGATGCGATCAAAAACACAGCAACCCCCACCAATGTAAAAGAGTTAAAAGCGTTCCTCGGATTGATCAATTATTTATTTTTATTTAAACCAAAAACAAAGTTATAACAATAACATATTAAACGTAAACAACTACATTAGTTTACAAAAAACTGTGTTGCAGTTATTTGCGCCCATTTCCAGAGAATTGTATACAATTTAAATAAAACAAATGAAAATAAATGAATATTACTCCTTAAGAACATTTAGAGAAAGACAAAGTATATAAAATAAAACAAATGATATTTATAATTTATGAGCATTAGAACAAGTGTGTGTGTGAGTGAGTGAGTGTGTGTGTGTGTGTGTGTGTGTGTGTGTCTGTGTGTGTATATGTATGTATATACGCGCGTTTATTGCACCTATATATGCGTTTTATGTATTCCTTTATTTTATTTTTTTTGTTTTTGTATTCGCAAGCATAACTTTGTGTCAGTTTTATGTGAATATGTACAATAACTATTAAACTATTATATTTTCAAGCAATATAATACAGCAATTAAACTATTATATTTTCGGTTTCATCATAAGAGAGGTTCAATAACCAATTAATTATTTTAATTTTACATTCGCGATGATTAAGGGAGTATATTTGTAAAATCTTATTCACTCGATTATAAACTTTAGAACTAATAAAACAAAAATGTCGATCCACAAGCCTGAGTCTACTTGGAAAAAACTGATAAAAGGAAACAAATATGATCAGTCCTGCGCTTGTTCATAAATAAATTATGATCAAATACCATACTTGAATGTTTACGCAAAATTAGTTTCATAATAAACAATTTTCTGACAGTTAGAACTTTGCATTTGCCATATAAATCAGTTGTTGGGTATCTAATAGGTTTACCTAATACCTTTAAAACAGCGCGTTGAGCTCGTTCTAGTCTTAGAAGCAAAGTTTTGGCTGCGCCACCCCAAGCTGTTATACAGTAGGTTAATATAGACTGTGTTAGAGTATAATATACCATTTTTAAGGTTTGTTCATCAACAGAGTGTCGTAGTAATTTAAAAACGAAAATCAATTTACGTGTACGGGCAATAATAGAATCTATTTGAGGTTTCCAACTCATAACGCTATCAATGAGAACTCCCAAATATCTTATAATATTTTCACGTGATAAAGGTGAACAATTACAGGATACAGGAGTAGTAAATTGGCAACTATGGGCGATGATAGACAATGATTGAGTTGGTTGTGACGCCATATTGGCAGAAAAAGTTACGAATTTAGTTTTATTTAAATTTAGAGTTAAAAGATTTTTGGCAAGCCATTTTACAAGATTGCATTGCAAATTCCGCAGCTTGCTTGGCCTCAGTCCAAGATTTACCTTTGATTAAAAGAGCAGTATCATCCGCATAAGATAAAATATTACAATTTGGTATAGACAGTTATTGAACGTAGCTAGTTCTTATCTTTATTACAGATTAGAATTAGGAATTTGGTTACGCCATTTATAACATTTTTATTGTTAACAATTATATATATTGTTATTTCGCTGGTCTGTTGTATTTGCAGTCAAGGTTTGTATATTTGTAATTTAGCGGGTAAGTATGTACCTGTAAAGTGGCGCCTCTGTCGCATCACTGCGAGTGCAATTGTGCATCTATTCACTTCGAAAAAACTCTGATTTGTACAATCAACCGCCGTGCACGTTGCTCAAGGTTAATCTCGAATTTAGACAATATTTTTGTGTCTTGTGCTTATATCATTGTGATCTGTGCGACAGCTGTTCAGAGGTGGTCTCCAGGAGTACGAGCCCAATATATTGCAGGTAACAAGCCTTGAATGTTTTAATCAGTCAGCGAATTAACATCATATTTCTGAACCAGCGACCGCGCCCTACCGCATGGTGGTGAAACCTTATTTGCTGTATTTTTCCGCAATTTCCCACCATAACATTTGATCCGTTCGACCCGGATTGTAATTAGTAATCAATTATATAAAATACTAATTACGAAATTGGTGTACGTTGACAGTTCCGCACAGTTGAAATTGAACCTTATTGTTATATGAATAGGGCTAAGTTCGATTGTATTCATTTGCTTGTTCCGTAACTCGAAATACAAAAGTGCATAGGTATCTTATATTAGCTACGCATTATAGTAATTTCATATTATAAACTACATATACATTAAATTTCTTCATAAGAGATTAAACTTTATAAAAATTAAATCGCACGTAGCGTTGTACGGTTTTTATTTATGTACCTGCATATTTTTTGATAAACTCGTTTGCGTATAGTTCATGTCTCATTATCTCTGCATTTCAAAATAGTCTGGTATATAAGTGTATTCATTGTTTATTGTATTTGCAAAATTAATTGTATTATACTGCACCGCATTACGTTGTATGGGTTGTTTCGTGTTCGATTATAATTATTTCTCACCCCGCATCGACTCGAACCTCCTATTACTGCGTAATTGAATCACTTATGTACCTACTGAGTTAGTAAATGTATTTAATTTGAAATAATTCAGATATGTATTTGGGCACATAATCATAGTATGTATATATATATAACCATAGCCGTGATTACTTATTGTATTAGTACGCGGTTTGATAAATTGAATTTAATAGATTACATAGTTAGGCTTTATCTATCTTTATATCTTCACGCTTAGGCCCACTAAGCGTGAAGATATAAAGATAGATAAAGCCTAACTATGTAATCTATTAAATTCAGGGGTAGGCAGAGATTGTCTAATATATAAATATTTAATTTTTGGTTGTTTTCCAATATTCGCAGTATAGTCTTATACTTAACCTCATATATAGGTCAAGGTTATACTGATAACTTGCAGGTGTCAGTCCGCGCGCATTTATGCAATCGTGATGATGATGATGTAATCCCGGCCGATTTCGGCCACGGCGACTATCTTCAATTCCGATTTTGTCGTTGATGTGCTCGCATGTGACTTATGTAGCCTATTTTGTGTGTAAAAATCCTCGCACATTGCGGGCATGAGAGCACACCGCTCATATAATTATAGCTGATAGCCGCAGATGGTCGGGCTTTCAGCTTGTCACGTCTGGCATCCAGCTCAAGGAGCCGCCGGTTTTCAAAAGCTTTGACGCTAGAATTAACAAGCGCTCTCCACTCCGGCCGTTCGGCAGCATGCTGCTCCCACATCGAAGGATTGATGTCGCACTGCTTCATGTGTCGCTTCAGCACATCTTTGTACCTGAGGAGTTGTCTGCCATGCTTCCGCTTGCCTCCCTCAAGTTCTGAGTAAAAGATGCACTTAGCCGTTCTTTCCTCCATCATACGCGTCACATGCCCGCACCACCGAAGCTGACGCCGCATAAGATAAGACTCAATACCACCGACATTGGCCCTTCGCAGCACTTCAGTATTCCGTACGCAGTCAGACCATCGGATATGAAGTATTTTCCGTAAGCACTTGAGGTGGACACGACTGCCATGTAGACATTGATCTTCGTTGCCAACCTAAAGTCGTGCGAGTTAAAGACCTTAGAGTCCAGCTTACCAAAGGCCGCTGCAGCAGCACCGATTCTGCTGTTGATCTCTGCATCATGATACTTCGATGATACTGTGCTACCTAGGTAGCGAAACTTGTCCACCTGCTTCAGCTCATCCCCTCCGAGTGTAATATTCAGTGACTCGCGACCATGAGTATCCAAAGACATCACCTCCGTCTTTTTGACACTGATTTTTAAGCCAAATTTTTGGCACGACTCGTGGAAATCGGACATTAGCTGTTGCAGGCCCCCTGGGGATTCTGCTAAGAAGCACAGGTCATCAGCGTACATCAACTCAGTGATCACGGCATGCGACACTTTGGTGCGGGCTTTCAGTCTGGCTAGATTAAAAATATTGCCGTCCGTGCGAAATCGAATGCGAACACCTTCAGAAGTCGTTTGTGAGACCTCTTGGACTACGACTGAAAAGTATAACGCGAACAATGTGGGTGCTAGAACGCCAGGGGTGCGTTCTAGTGCGTTTACCCCACAGGTGACGGGGAAAAAATTGGACTGTTCGTCGTTAACAGCGACGCAGCACTGCATGTCGTCATGCAGGAGTCTTAGAAGTCTCACGAACTTCTCTGTACATCCAATTTTGTGAAGTACAAGCCAGAGGGCTTCACGAGGCACACTATCGAAGGCCTTCTCATGGTCAACAAAACAGAGATATAAAGGACGATCTTGCTCTCTGCTCTTCTCCTGTAGTTGATGAGCTGTAGTGACCGACACTCGGCATATTCCTATTATGAAGACTCAATTATGAAAATAACGGATTCGGACGCCTTAAACTCACCTACAGACATTCGATCGGCCGTACATGTCGTAGAGATTAATAACGAGTCGCTAACAGGTGGTTCGCCAAAACCTACGACAACATAAACTGTATTGGAACCGTCAACATCGAAATCAGCTAATCAGCAGAATACATACAGAATAAATACTGCTTCTATGAACTCTGGCGACTGTCAGACTACTAATATTCCTACTGATATTTTAGATACATTAGCAAATTCAAAGAAGAAAGAAGAGGTTTTCGGACCAAAAATTCAGGAAGAAATCTCTAAACGCTGGGGATGTGTTGTAGGTAGGTCAACATTAATTATTGTATTCCCTACCTACTTATTTAGAATAAAGCAGTTATCGTCGTAACATAATGTTTCATTGACACAACATGGTGACAGCGGTCTTATTATTTAGAAATTAGAGTTTTTGTCGATATAACTTTCGTTAACTTATACGAGTAACAATAATAAAATAGTGCCGTTATTAAATTAATAAAAATGGAACACGCAAGGCCACCTCCGGAGTTAAGTATGGACGGTAGCCCTGTCGGCCGGGCCGACGCATGGAAAAGGTGGAAAACCCAATTTCTATTATTTATTAAAGCTTCTGGAGTCCACAAAGAAGAAACTGGAGTACAAGCGAGTTTGTTGATAAATTTAATTGGAGCAGATGGATTTGATGTTTATCAGACTTTTGCATTCGAAAGTGATACACAACGTGATGACGTCAATATATTGATAAAAAAATTTGATGAACATTTCGGCGTGAAGACAAATGTCACATTAGCAAGATATAATTTTTTTACGCGTAATCAAAGTGAAGGTGAATCTATTATACAATATGTGACCGCATTAAAATTATTGAGTAAAAATTGCGAATTTCTGACATTGGAATTTGACCTTATTCGCGATCGTATGACAATACGATCACAGACATGTGGAATAACAAATATCGCAGTGAGGGACCGCTTGTTACGATCAGAAGATTTAACTTTAGAAAAAGCCATAAATATATGTCAAGCAGATGAAGTATCTGCTGACGGGAGACGACAACTGGAATCGAGTAGCGGCACTCCGTCATCGTCAGGCCCGGGGCCTGCGCTCGTGAGCGCCGTAAGAGCGCGCGGTTCACGCGGCCGTAGCAGCTCTCGCGCTCGCGCACCGAGGTATAGCGTTACCAACCGCAGAGGGAATAGTCACAATATGCATACGGTTGCCAATTGTCCAAGATGTGGGGCTCAAAGATGTGAGCCGACTACATGTCCTGCGTTGAATATTCAGTGTTACGTTTGTCATAATTATGGTCATTTTGCTAGAATGTGTCAAGTGAAAAATGTTAAAAAAATGTATGATATTGAAACATTTGAAAATCAATCGGACGATGATGAGTCATTTTTTGTTTCTGTAATTTCGAATTCAACTAATTCCAAATGCTATCCATCAGTGGCTGAGGATTGGTACGAATACTTGAGATGTGATGGTGGGGTTGAAAAGTTTAAATTAGACACCGGTGGTAATAACACATTAATGTCCTTAATGTGTTATCTTATCGGAAGTTTTCTATTTTAGGTTTTAATGAAAGCATGATAAATAAAAAAGGAAATATTAAGTTGCAGTCCTATAGCGGTAATATAATTCCAATAAAAGGTATGTGTAATTTAAGTTTCTATTATAAAAACCAGTTATATTGTTTACCTTTTGCTATTTCTTATCTTAACTGTGAAAGTATTTTAGGACGTCAAACATGTACCGAATTAGGTTTAATAAGGCGTGTTCATGGTATAGACATATCCACCTATAACGATATATTTCAGGGTTTGGGTTGCCTTCCAGGTAAATATCATATAGTTGTAAATCCGTCTGTGATGCCCGTAATTAGTGCATCTCGTAAAGTTCCATTAGGTATACGTGATAAATTAAAAAGTGAGTTAAATAAAATGATGGATATGGGTGTCATACGAAAGGTATCCCACCCCACTCCATGGGTTAATTCGTTAGTAATAGTTGCAAAAAAAAATGGTGGTATCCGTTTATGTCTAGACCCACGACCTTTAAATACGGCTATACAACGAGCGCATTTTCAACTACCTACAGTAACTGAACTGGCTACTAAACTCAAAGGTGCCAAATATTTTTCTGTGTTAGATGCTAATTCTGGGTTCTGGGCCATACAACTGGACTCTTCCAGTTCTGACCTTTGCACATTTAATACTCCGTTTGGAAGGTTCCAATTTTTAAGATTACCGTTTGGTTTAAATTGTGCCGCCGAAGTATTCCATGCAAAAATTAAACAGTTATTTGAGGATTTAGAAGGAGTGGAATATTTCATAGATGACCTTATTTGCTGGGGTCGCACAAAAGCTGAACATGACACACGCTTAAAAGCTTTACTGCAAAGAGCACGTGAAGTAAATTTAAAATTTAATATTGAAAAATGTAAATTGTGTGTAGAAGAGGTATCATATTTGGGTCATGTATTTAATATCCATGGTATGAAGCCAGATCTGAATAAAGTTAAAGCTGTAAAGAATATGCCAGCCCCTACTGATAGAAAATCATTAGAGAGATTTTTTAGGTGCTATTAATTATTTATCAAAATTTATACCAAATTATTCAACATGTATCACTCCTTTGACTATTAAAAAAAAATATAATATGGCAATGGAGTCAGGAGCAACAAAATGCATTTGAAAAGTTGAAGGAATTAGTACGTAATGCGCCCGTTTTAGCTTTGTTTGATGTGTCACGCCCGGTAGTATTATCAGTGTATTTATATTCATATGCAAGTAGTAAACAACGGTTATTTCAATATTACAAACAACAGGCTTCAACATTCTCAAGTACCACAAAAAAGATGGTTTTTCTATCAAATAAACCGTTTTTATTAAAAACAAGCTGTTCCCGCGACTTCGTCCGCGTGGAATTTAACTTTATTTTTCTAAAATAAAAGTAGCCTAAGTTACTCCTTATAAATCAGCTACCTGCCAAAAAAAGTACCGTCAAAATCGGTCCAGCCATTTCAGAGATTAGCCGGAACAAACAGACCGACAGACAGACAAAAATTATACAAAATGTTATATGCCTATTCATATGCGTGTAGTAAAAAACGGTTATTTCAATATTACAAAGAGACACTCCAATTTATATGTGTATATGTATAGATTATTATTTATTTATTTATTTATTCATCCAAAATAATACAAATTGTGTAGGATAACGTAATAGTAACATTACAGTAAAATCAAGAAGGAGGGCACAGCAAGATGTATTTCGGTACATCTTGCTAGACTTGGGGCGCGGCCCGAACTGGCGTAGTACCTCCACCAAGCGGAAAACCACAGCCAAACAGTGCTGTACTTGCACTACACAACAGCACTGTGTTCCTGTGGTGAGTAAGGTGACCAGAGCCCCATGGGGATGGGTTGTGCTGGTATTGGTGGACCTGTGTGTCCAACAGTGCCTCGGGATTGCATAGGCGCGACGTGGTGGCGCGGCGTTCAGGGACACCCGGTGAAACGGCTAACCGCTGGCCGCCCGCAGGTTGTTGGGTTCCCGAACCCAGGGATTACATAATCTCCGCCCTGGGAGGCTGAACCGCCGCCTGTGCATAATCCCTGGTGTAGTAGTCGTGCCGGAGGAGGAGACCGGAGTGGACCCGGCTGCTACACCAGTGGGGGGACCGGGGGCCCTTCCGGCCGCCGTGCCACCAAGTCGCCCAACCTGTGCAATGCTGGGGTGCGTTGATGCACCTTTTGCCCTTTCTGATACCGGCGCAACCATTCCCCTTTAACCTTAAAAAAAAAATACTCCCATACTACCATGACCAGAAGTAAAAAAAAGAAATTTAGTACTTCAGTGGCACCCCAATCCACATTAGATATGGATTTCTGTAATATCAGGGGACTTCACGGAAACATCAATGCGGTCCACCATCACCTTGAGACCGCCAAGCCGACCCTTTTATTCCTTACGGAGACGCAGATATCCTTCTGGCTGACACTTCATACCTGCTGTACCCTGGGTATAAACTCGAGCACAAATTTGTGCGTCGTGCCGGGGTTTGTTTGTATGTCCGGGAAGATATCTGCTGTCGCCGCCTTCTTGGTCTAGAAGAAAAAGACCTGTCAATCCTATGGGTTCGCATTGATCAGGGTGACTACACCGGCATCTATGCGTGCCTGTACAGGTCTCATAGCGGTGACGAGGATACGACTCGTCTGTTTGAGCACCTTCAATTGACGTCTGATAAAGTTCTTGAGCAGTATCCCTCCGCAAGTCTAGTGATACTTGGAGACTTCAATGCCCATCACATCGAGTGGCTCCGTTCTCGGCTCACCGACCACGCAGGGAGAACTGCTCACGAGTTTGCTCTGCACGAGAATATCTGATATCGAGACCCATACGAGCTCCTTACTGGACCTTCTGCTGACTACACGACCGGACGGATATTCAGTGACCGTGGAGGCACCACTTGGTTCTTCAGATCACTGCCTTATCCGATCCCAGGTACTGTGCACAAAACCTGCTATATCCCGACCTCCTTGTCAACGTCGTATATGGCAGTATAAATCTGCAGATTGGGACAGATTGCGAGAATTTTACGCATCGTACCCATGGAAGCAGTACTGCTTTGCATCAGAAGACGTCGATACCTGTACAGCCGCCGTTACTGAAGTCATACTTGCGGGTATGGAATGTTTTATTCCAAATCTGCTTGTTTCTTCAGGGGCGAAAAAGCGACCGTGGTTTAATAGGTCATGCAGAGAAGCCAGACAGGCTAAACAAACTGCTTATCTGGCTTGGACCACGGCTCGTTCCAACAGTGATGTTGACGTATCTGATGCAAGGCGGAATTTAAATGCTGCATCCAGGTTTAGTAAGAGAGTAATTGCTAGAGCCAAATTCGACTTCGTCAGTAAAATTGGTGAACGACTAGCACGACATCCTTCTGGAAGTCGTGCCTTTTGGTCGCTTGCCAAAGCTGCCGAAGGTAACTTTAGTCAGTCGTCCTTACCACCACTACGGAAGCCGGATGATAACTTGGCAATCAGTGCAAAAGAGAAGGCCGGTTTGTTGTGCAATCTTTTTGCCTCAAATTCGACTTTGGACGCCGGGGATACCATACCTACTACCATCCCATGGTGTGGTAACTCTATGCCAGAAATATCCGTAACGCAACTACTAGTCCGGCGTGAGTCACTGTCTCTTGACGTCCACAAGTCGAATGGGCCAGACGGCATACCGGCATTGGTGTTAAAGAAGTGTGCTCCGGAGTTGTGTCCCGTACTCACGCGCCTTTTCGCGCTTTCGTACTCCTCTGGGCAATTTCCGTCTTCATGGAAGACCACCCTTGTGCACCCTGTGCCAAAAAAGGGCAACAGATCAAACCCATCGAACTACAGGCCTATCGCTATCGCATCTCTACTCTCCAAGGTGATGGAGCGTGTAATTAACACACAGCTCCTGGGATACCTAGAGGATCACGATCTATTGAGCGATCGTCAATATGGCTTTCGCCATAATCGCTCAACTGGTGATCTTTTAGTGTATCTCACACACCGTTGGGCTCTTGCCATCGAGAGTAAAGGTGAGGCATTGGCAGTCAGCCTTGACATGGCGAAGGCATTCGATCGGGTTTGGCATCAAGGTCTTCTATCGAAATTGCCCTCGTACGGTATACCAGAGGGATTATGCAAATGGGTCGCTAGTTTTTTGTCTGGCAGATGCATCAAAACCGTAGTCGACGGTAGTTGCTCCGATAGCATGGACATTAACGCTGGCGTCCCGCAAGGCTCCGTTCTCTCCCCGACACTGTTTTTGCTGCATATCAATGATTTGTTAACTACAGTTAACATTCATTGTTATGCGGATGACAGTACTGGGGACGCATTTTACACGGGCCGTGCTAATATCCCTCTTTCCGTTGTGGAGGCAAACCGCGAACAGCTTGTGTCTGAAATCGAGAGTACTCTTACCAGAGTCTCCGATTGGGGGCGACTGAACTTAGTTCAATTCAACCCTACCAAGACACAAGCCTGCGCGTTCACCGCTAAGAAAACCCCTTTTGCTGTGACTCCGCAATTCCAGAACACGTCCATTACCATCTAAGAGTATTGGGATTCTCGGTATCGACATCTCTAGCACAGTTGAGTTCCGTAGTCACCTCGAAGAAAAGGTTAAGCTGGCGTCCAAAAAACTCGGTGTGCTCAATAGAGCGAAGCGGTATTTCACTGCGGACCAGAGACTCCTCTTATATAAGTCTCAAGTTCGGCCGCACATGGAGTACTGCTCTCATCTTTGGGCAGGAGCACCTGGATACCAGCTCGGTCCTTTTGACTCGGTTCAGAGACGTGCTATGAGAATTGTCGATGATCCCAATCTCTCTGACGGTATCGAGCCACTTAGTTTGAGGCGAGACTTCGCTTCGCTTTGTGTGTTCTACCGATTATACAACGGACTGTGTTCTGAGGAATTGTTCGACATGATGCCTACGGCCACCTTTCACCATCGCACCGCTCGCCATCGACAGGGAATTCATTCCCACACGCTGGAACCTAAGTGGTCTCGGACAGTGCGGTTTCAGAGGAGCTTCCTCCCGCGTACACTTAGATTGTGGAATGAACTTCCTGCCGAGGTTTTCTCACGAGACTACAGCATGGGGTTTTTCAAGAAGGGTATATTAAGGTTTCTTAAGAGTCGGCAACGCGCACGTGACACCCCTGGTGCTTCAGGCGTCCATAGGCTACGGTAACCATTTACCATCAGATGGGCCGTATGCTTGTTTGCCACCATAGTAGTATAAAAAAAAAAAAAATTTTGTCAACAACATAATAGCAACATAAACATTAAATCTCGGTATAAAAAGTAACAGTCGTAAGGCTAGTCGTATGCCTAATATATATAATAATGTAATAAATTCATTTAAACAGAAATTGCGGGGACATTATTTAAATTTGTAACTTTTTTACTGTCCTTCTCCTTTTTTCACATCTTTCTGTTATATCCCTATAGTTCTCTCTATATTTTCTGTTTTTCTTACTTTCAATTTGAGACTGTACTTATAATTTGATTATCGGATCATTATGTATTTATTTATATAGAATATTTATACATTTATGGGTTATATTTACATATATATTTATGTATGTATATTGTTATTTTTTTATAAAAAAATATATTTTGCTTTGTATTTATATATCTTTTTTTGACATTTCTTATTTATATTAGTGCACCGCCAATAATCTTTCTCTGCACCACTCATAGTTGCCTGGTAATTAACGAGGCAAGATATTAAGTCCGCCACATGTACAAATTTTTTTGTGCATTAAAGTTAAAGAAATAAAAAAAATACAATACTCTTTAATGAAAATGCGTATTGTCTAGTGCTTAGAGATGTATCAAAATAAGGTCAACAAAAAAGTCCGTGATGGTATATGTCTATCTCTTAAGGATAACCAACAATAACCATTTTTTATCTTTTACATTTTACGGGAATTTTTTTTATCGTACGTTTCCCTTAAAATCATGTAAACAATGTTATTATGTCATAATCTAAAGAAATAATAATATTTTATAGTGAAATATC